TCTAGGACAGTAACACTGCATAATGAGGCCACGTGAAATGTTAACCTCCAGCATGCATGATTACCGTAAATTTTGTCATGAGGGGGAGTGAAAAATTTGCTGTCACCGGTCGTTCACTGAAAATGCAAATTGGATAATGAACAGGATGCCGAGAAAGAAGGATGACGAAATTCGTACTGAAAAGTTCCCGGTCAGAATTCTAACGCACACTACAAGAGACATCGGCGTATTGAGGAAATAAGTTTGAAGTCTTTGGATCGCACGTGGACAGAGAATATCCTCTTAAAATTCGAGATTCTTAGCCCTTCTAATCCCCGAGTTAGTAATTTTCCCAAAAACTTTCACGTATCTGTATGTGAGAACCAACCCCATTTAGTAATTGAATTTGAAACTTTTATATCGCACCCACACACGGAACACTTGGTTCTTGAACTGGCAATTTTCTCACCAAAAATTTTACATGCCGATACGTGAGAAATAGACATGCATAAAAAATGATGACATGTTCCTCGGAGTACATCTGACTAGAGAACCCACCGACAAAATTCCAATACCTAAATTGAAATACTCGGACAGACGCATATACACAAACACATATGCACACAAACATACAGACACATACAAAATAGGTTGTCACAACGTTGGTGTTGCTGACTGCGCTATAGAGCTGCACAATAAAAATGTATAAAAAAGTAAATAAATAGCGGCGTGCACCAGGATGTCTGGTGTAATAATGCGTTCTGTGGAACTCTGTCCAGCGGACGCTTGTGCAGTTCTATCCAAAGGGACCCTGCTGTTAAAATCCCACTGCTTTACTTTTTAATATGTACCGAAATTTTTGTGGTTCCCGAGTTATTAATTTTGACGCCAAAACCTTCATGTGTTCGTAACTGAGACCTAGGCATAGGCTATGATAGAATTTGTACATGGGCGGGGAGCATTCTTCTGAAATTTCAGATTCTTAACTTTTCTGGCTCGCAAAGTAATAATTCTCCCGCCAAAAAGTTTACTTGCTCGTGCGCCAAGCCGGAGCACATCGTGAAGGCCGAATTAAAATTTGCAGGGTGACACGCGAGCAGTGAACATTCGCCTGAAGCTTCAGATTCCTAGTTTTTATGATTTTCAAACTACCACTTGTCCGCACGTGAGACCTGGACAACTCCAGGGGCTGAATTTGAGTTTGCGGAATCATAAGCAGACAGGGAACATTCACTTAAAATTTCACCCCCTTAGCTTTTTTGGTTTCCGAGTTAATAATTTTCGTGCCAAAACGTTCATTTGTCCATATGCGAGATTTAAGCATGCGTGAAGGCTGAGTTTAATTTTTCGGATCACATGCGAGCAAAGAACATCACCCTAAAATTTCAGCTTCCTAGCTTTTGTGCTCCCCGAGTTATTAATTTAGTCGACAAAACTTTCATGTGACTATACCTGAGGCATGTGCGTACTTGGGCACGAATTTGAGTTTTCGAGATCGTGCGCAGATAGAAGGTCCGCATTAATTGAAAAACCCGAACAAAAGGCACTCGGAACACAAACACACAGGGCTTCGTATGCATTCTGTGCAACTGGTGCACCAAAAAACGCATAAAAACGTGAGGAGCCCTTAACATTTTTATGCGTTTTTGCACATTTATTTATGCGAATGCAAAAACGCATACTGTGGTTTGTGTATGTGTGTATGCGCGCGCATGCTTCTGTACGTACGTCTGTCCGGGCGTTTCAGCTCGACAATCGAGTAAGCTTTGATGACGAAATTTTGCCATTAGATTCTCTGGCAAATGCTGCTCCAGAAACGTCAGGCATGTCTTTCAGGCATGTCTGAATCTCGCATGTGAACAGGTGAAAGTTTTGGCAGAAAATTACTAACTCGGAATCAGAAAAGCTCGAAAGCTGAAATTTCAAGGGGAGGCTCCCTGTCCATGTACAATCCAAGATTTCAAATTCATTTCCTAAATGCGCTTGATTCTCATGTACAGGTGTGTGAAATTTTTTTTGATGGGCAAATTGCTAACTGGGAACCCTAAAAGTTGAAAGCTGAAATTTTGAGAAAAATTGCAGTGTATGATGCAGCGATTTTACATTCAGTCCGCTCCGTACGGAAAAGTAAAATTTATGGCGAGAAAAAGCTGAAATTCAGGAGATGTTCTCCGCCCACGTACGACACAGAGATTTTAAATTCATTTCTTAAGTACACTTGGTTCTCCCGCATGGGAATGCGAAAGTTTTAATGGGACTTCGTCACTCTTTTCCCTCCACATCCCGCTCACTGAATAATTTGCATTTTCAGTGAATGACGAGTAACAGCCATCTTTCGTAAGGAATTACTAGAACTCGGCTCGGTCGCTCTTAAGAGGCGCTTCCATATCTTTGTTAGTGAGACACAAATGCCGCTTGCCGGCGCTGCTTGGGAAGCGGCATTTGCTTTCCCCCTCTTCTATCCTTTCCCCAGTCATGTCCTCGGAGTTGCATTTGCGCACCCGCCAATCACAACCCCCAATTATTTCCACCCCCTCCAAACAAAGGCAACTAGCCGTTGAAATTTCTAAAAAGCTAAGACTCTTGCTGTCCAGAGCAAAACTCCCTCCTCCAAACAGCATGGACAAGTGAAACGCAGTACTAACCAACGATCTCAGTGGTGGTTCTTCCATTGCCTTCTCCAGAATATTCAGTTTCCATTGCGTTGTTAACAAAATTGGGAATAAATCCGTTGACCTAAAAATAAGCAAAATAAAAGGAATGAAAAAGAGAAAAGCATGCGAAAGCAGCGCGGAATGATCGTAATAGTAACCTCGTCAGAACTGTGATTTAAATCAATATTGGAACCCGCGGTCTCCTTTCCCATTGCTTCATTTGACTTGGCAACGCCCTCCAGAGACTGCGGCAACACTGCGCAGTAACCTTCATCTGGTCGTTGATCCTGACTCTCATCTGTATCCATTGCCACCTCTGATATGTCATTACCTGTCTCCTAAATCATGCGAACTTCCGGCGATTTATGTAGAAAAAAAAAGAAACTAAAATAAGTTTGCGAGCTCATCTAGCAACCACATACTATATATATAATTTACTGACCAGGAGTTATGTATGTATATAGAACTTCTGGTCGGTAAGGTACAGGTAACTCCCGATTGGCATCTCACTGCTGTCTTAGAGCAGCAATGTTTAGGACAAGATGGTAATGTTCAACAAATACTAAGTTCATCTCGAAACGGTTTTTTGGAAAAAATAAATAGCAACGCGCACCAGACTAGCCGGTGCGATCATGCGTTTTGTGCAATTCAGCCCGTCGAACGAATGCCTATGAATGATTTTCACTGCGTTGTACTTTAGTCTATGCAAAAATAGTTCAAGAACTGGGAAACAGTTAAAAATTTCACGCACCAGTGCATGAAAGCTGAATTTGAAACACTGAGGAGTGAATATCTTTCCGTGATTCCCGAGTTAATAGTTTACCCGCCAAAATTTTCACGAGGCCGTTGGTGATACCCGAGAGCGCGGGAAAGCTGAATTTGAATAGGCAAGGTTGAGCGTGGGCAGGAATACTAACCTAAAATTTCAGCCTTCTAGACTCTGTGTTTCCCGAGATAATAATTTACCCATAAAAACTTTCGCAAGCCCGTAGGTGATACCCGAGAGCACGGGAACGCTGAATTTGAATGGGCAAGGTTGAGCATGGTAATGACCCTAAAATTTCAGCCTCCTAGACCCCGTGGTTCCTGAGATATTAATTTACCAGTAAAAAACTTTCACAGGGCCGCACGTGTTACCTGCGGGTACGGGAAGGCTGAATTTAAATTTGCCGCGTCATCCCTTGGCGGGTGCCGTACGAGTTACCCGCAGGTACGGGAAGGCTGAATTTAAATTTGCCGCGTCACCCGTTGGCGGAGAGTACTACGCTAAAATTTCAGCCGCCTAGCTTTTGTGGTTCCCGAGTTGAAAGTGCGGGACAAAATGTGGGACACACAAGCAAACACACACACAGACAACCCCGTGACAATATGCGTTTTGTAACGCTGCTACACAGCACAAAACGCATAATAATGAACTGGTAATCCTTTCATGAGATGAAACCAGTTCCAGTTCACCAAGATGCGTTTCTGACCAAAGCAACTGGGAAAGCTGCTAACAGCATAATTGGAGAGAAGACTGTAAATTACAGCCGAAGTGAATATTCAAGCAACAAACACGGACGGATGCCTAAGGAAGTTAAAAGGCGGGAAGTTTGAAAATTTTCAAAAGGTTTTAGTTGAAATAGAGCACGTAACTCTTATTCCGCAGCGCGATCCCAATACAGCTTCGGGAATTCTTTGAAAGTATTTGCCCAAACACGCTGTAAATTGTTATGCAGAGCTTGGGTTTTTCATTACAAACTGTGCTGCAATTTTCCTTGAACTGAAAATTTTCTAAAATAGGAAGTTGACACGATAAGCGAGCAGGGAGGCAGGCTGAACAACAAAATGAGTAAACATTATGAAAAAGATAGCAATTTTTATGCATTTTTTGCAGCTATGCAATACCGATTTTTCATCTCGAGATCTACAGAAGCTACAGGGCTAAAACTTTCGGAAGTTAAACTACATGCATGTACGGGCCCGCGAAAGCTTTTTGCGGGCAAGTCACTAACTCGCGAACCAGAAAACTATGTTCCCCGTCCACGTAAGTCTCAGTAAGCTCAAACTCAGCCCTCGGGTATGCGTAGTACCCACATACGGGCCCGCCAAAGTTTTCTTCGGGTAGGTCGATAACTCGAGAATTTGAAAAGCAAGAAGACTGTAATTTTAAGAGAACATTCTACGTCCATGTAAGTCTCAAAGAGCTCAAACCCAGACATAGGGTATGCGTGATACCTACGTATGGGCCCGCCATAATTTTTTGCGGGTAAATCGCTAACTCGCGAACCAGAAAAACTAGAAAGCTGAAATTTCAAGGAAATGTTCTCCGTTCACGCAACTCTTAACGAGCTCAAACCCATACCTCCAGTATGCGTGGTACTCACGTACGGACCCGTGAAAGTTTTTTTCCAATAAGTTGCTAACTCAGGGGCCAGGAAAAATAGAGAGCTGAAATTTAGAGGGGGTGTTTCCTGACAGTTCTGGCGGCCAGTCTTAATTTGTTTAGCTAGAAGCATTTGCCGAAAAAACTGGTGCCGATAGC